TTTTGCAAGAGAATGCTCCATATTGTCAAAAAAAAAAAAAAAGCATCAGAACCCTCGACACAGAAATGACATTACATAATTACGTAATTTTACTTGTATATTAGCTCCCACTAAGAGAAAATAATGCATTAGAATATACAAAACAATTTGTCTAGCAACAAGATGAGCTGATTTTTACTACAGTCGATAGCTGAGGTGCAAGATGGCGCCAGTTGTGTTTGAATGAAACGAGAGCGAGTCTGCAGTGTGATACGAGAGACATATAGCACCGGATTCAGTTACCCGTCCCGGATGAGCTGACTGACAGCATTGCCAGTGAAGATCAGGAAATACACGATTGACCAATCAGATTCAAGAGCCACATAATAAGGACTCATAAAGCATGTGTTAAGTCTCATTCACGTGTCAGAAGTGTTACCTGCCATTAGTCTTCCTTCTGTTGGCATGTAATGGTTTAACAAGCTTTTATGTGATTTTGCCGACATGTTTGCTCTCAGAGTGGCACACATTACAGTTCAGCCTTCATACATTATTCACAGAGTATTCACAAACACTTGTTACAGCAGTTGATGTTTCTTACGCAGCCAGCACTGGGAACTGACTGTTGAAACTCTGATATTGGATATAACTTGCGGTACATTTCAAGCAGTCCCTCACCTGTGAAAACCGTCCCGTCGTGTGTCAGGAGTGCCGCCCCGACTCTGAACTTGCTGTAGGGGCAGTAGGCAAATTTCCTGGCCTCTAGGGATTTCCAGATCAACTCTTTTATTCCAGACAAGTGCTCATTCAACCCATTAATAAGCTCACGTCTCATCTTTTGATCTCCCATGGTGCTGTGCTGTGTATGTATTGTGTTTCTGCGGCTCAACAGACTTGCCTGTGACTCTGTTTTTCCAGATCCGGCATCCAATCCCTTTTCCCAGATCTCCCACCTCCCTGACGCTTGTGTTTGATGTGTGTGATGCTGTCATGCTGCAAAGTTATGTAATTTCCAGTCAGAGGCAAATTAGCAATATTTCCCTTAGCCACACCGAGAGACAGTGAGGACGGGGTATAAAGGTCACTGCACTATAATACAGTGATATCCCCAATGGAATAACAATGAAAAAGCATTTCCTTTTCACATCAGACAGCTGGAGATAAATAGGCCAACAGCAATAGTAAGCTGGGAAAATATTTGATTTATTATTTTATAATCTTCTTCCTTGGAAGAAAATAAAAAAAAATTGAATAAAAAGAATTTAAATCAAGATGACCATTTAAGTTTGTTGGAATTTGATTTTACGCCAATACAAACATCAATTTAACCACAAATTCTAGTACAAATATCGTAACATTCTTGAATCAAGATACATTTACTTAAGAAGCAATATGACTTAAGATATTAAGTTTTTTTTTTTTTTTTTTAAATGTATCAAAATTAGTTTTTGCTTAAAAAATTTTATCTGCCAATGGGGCAAGAAAAATCATCTTAACTCAAAGGGAAAACAAGTTTATTTTTCTTGCCCCAATGGCAGATATTTTTAAAATTTTGCTTGAATCTTGATCCAAATTTGATTTATTATTTTATAATCTTCTTCCTTGGAAGAAAATAAAAAAAAATTGAATAAAAAGAATTTAAATCAAGATGACCATTTAAGTTTGTTGGAATTTGATTTTACGCCAATACAAACATCAATTTAACCACAAATTCTAGTACAAATATCGTAACATTCTTGAATCAAGATACATTTACTTAAGAAGCAATATGACTTAAGATATTAAGTTTTTTTTTTTTTTTTTAAATGTATCAAAATTAGTTTTTGCTTAAAAAATTTTATCTGCCAATGGGGCAAGAAAAATCATCTTAACTCAAAGGGAAAACAAGTTTATTTTTCTTGCCCCAATGGCAGATATTTTTAAAATTTTGCTTAAATGTATCTTGATCCAAGAACGTTTAGATATTTGTACTGGAAAACGAGACAAAAATATTAAGAAAATATTTTTTTTGCAGTGTGATATTCAAAACCTGCTCTGCTCTTTTCTTTCATTCATCAATTGAACATCCTTGTTTGAGAACGTAACAGAATAAAACAAGTTTCAATGCTGGTATTTATCTTATCTAACAGACACTGACCGCTGTACTCAGTATACTGGGTCTTTTTGACCGTCTGGTGTCATTTCTATGGTGTGGCAGTTCAATAACCTTTGCAAAAAGAACATTCTAGTTGGTGTTGTCATTTTCGATTATCCAGTTGATCCAAGAAACGTAGTTGCGGACTTTGGTGTAGACTCCTGGGAAATACTTGTTGGCACAACTGATGCCCCAGGACACGATCCCCTCAAAATAACCATTACAGATGAGAGGCCCACCAGAGTCGCCCTGCAGCCAAACAAAGCACAGTGTCACCACAGGATCACACAGTGCTAAGTGTTATATGATGCTGTTTGTTTTATCGGAAATATATTTTGAATGCATATCGTCTCTCTCTGTGTTTTGTGTTTCAGAACTAAAGCCCTGCTGCTCGGATTCACCTGGCAGGAGTCTTTGCCGCCCAGCGGGGAGCCGGCGCACACCATGTTGTCTGTGATTCTGTAGTAGTAGTAGTATTGACACTGAGGGATGATCTGGACGTCCACAGCACGCAGGACTGGGGACAGGTAATAACTGTAGACCTGAGTGACGCCCCAGCCGCTCACCGTGCAAAACGTGCCACCTTGTAAGGGAGCGAGTGAGGTTGGCAGCACAGCTGGCTGAATGTTGGCACTGAACTCTGCAGGCTTTTCCAGCTAATGCACAGATCCAACAATGAATGAAAACGGAAAATGTTATAAATTGCATTTTTAACTGTTGATAATATTATTGATAATGCAACATTGATAATAATCAGAAACGATTCTTTAGCAGCAAATCAGCATATTAGATTGATTTCTAAAGCATCATGTGACTCTTCAGCTTTACCATTACAGGAGTAAATTACATTTTAAAGAATATTACAGTAGAATAAATTAAAACATTAAAAATATTGTGACATATTATTAAAAAACTGTAAAGAATTGTAATAATATTTGAAAATATGATATTTTTCTGTATTTCAAAACATTAAAAAACAGTACCAACCCCAAAATTTCTAGTAAATACTAAGAACATACTCATACTGTCTGTCTGTATATATATATATATATAAAACGTACTTGCTTGTTACCATGTATGTTTGTTGCTTCCTAACTAGGATACTAGGATAAACAAGCATATAGGCCTACTTATTAACATGTGTGCAATATTTATATATTTCATGCTTGATGAACTTACTTTCAAGAGCATAATGTCACTATCAAATGTCCTGTAACTGTACATGTAATTCACCAGAACTCTGGACACATTGAACACCTGCTCAACACCCTCTTTACTGGAGAGGTTGTGTTCACTCAAAACCACTTTGATTAAATAGCTCCTGTGAACAGAGTAGACAGCAGAACCCAACATTACCACATCAGTACAGTCAGTGTAAGGATTTGGTCTACCTCAAATTCTGTAGCATGCTTAGTGTGTTCAGTTCCTTGTCAATAAAGGTGAATTCTGACTGAAATACTCACGGTCTCCAGCAGTGGGCGGCAGTAACCACCCACTGTCGGTGTATGAGCGTTCCTCCGCAGTAATGGTAGTTGTTGTACTGGATAGAGGCCTGGTACTTTATGGAATAGGGCTCAACCTCCTGTCCTCCGATGATTCTCTGCTGCAGCGAGCCTGTAAATGAAGAGAATAATGATAAAGCGAGGCCTCGTATGTGCTAGATAAACATAAAACGTCAGCCGCTTGTGCCCACCAAAGGCTTTCAGTCATGTATACGCAGAGAGCAACTTCCTGTTACATATGCATTATATTTAGATGAGACCGGTGTGAGTTACTCTGGTAATGCTGTGCTTTACCGTGAAGCATAGAGATGATGAGGAGCAAGGCGTATTCAAGGCATTTCTTCATGTTGGAGGGGTCTAAAACACGGAGGACGTTTAGAGGTCAGAGGAAAAACAAATACAAACAGCTGTGGTAAAAGAAAAACCATCACATTTTACATAATACACAGTAAAACTAAATTAATGTCACGGTGAGTTTCCAACAACAGGTTACTCTGCTGGAATAAAAGTTAAAAGCTAAAACCAAAAAGGTTTCGTTTAGATGGTTTAAACTGTGATTTAGCTGCTTTAGTTGTGTTTTAATAATTAATAAATGTAATAAAACTCTCTTTCAAAGAAAAACTAATTCAAAGAATAGGCATTGTCATCAATCACTGTCATTTCAAAATGTCAAAAATTGTTAATGACATTATGTATACATTTTTTTACATTGTAACTATATATATATATATATATTTAGTGCTGTCAAACGATTAATCGCGATTAATCGCATCCAAAATAAAAGTTTTTGTATACATAATATATGTATGTGTACTGTGTATATTTATTATATATATATAAATACACACACATGCATGCATATATTTCAGAAAAATATGTTATGTTTATATATTAAATATATTTATTTATAATATAAATTATATGAATATAAATATAGACGTAAATATTTTCAAAATATATACTGTATGTGTGTGTATTTATATATACATAATATACACAAAACATATTTTATGCAAACAAAAACTTTTATTTTGGATTCGATTAATCGCGATTAATCGTTTGACAGCACTAATATATATGTTTTTTTGTGTTTTGTTTTTTTCTCAAATAAATGCTTTTCTCTTAAATATTTGATTAATCAAAGAATCCTGAGAAATAATGTTAAAATGGTAAGTTTTCCACAAAAATATGAAGCAGTGCGACTGATTGATAATAATCATACATTTTTCTTGAGCAGCAAATCGGCATATAAGAATGATTTCTGAAGGATCATGTGACACTGAAGACTGGAGTAATGATGCTGAAAATTCAGCTTCAACATCACAGGAATACATTACATTTTAAAATATATTCAAATAGAAAACAGTTATTTTAAATAATGTTTATAATAATGTTTCACAATATTACTGTTTTTACTGTATTTTTGATCAAATAAATACATCCTTGGAAAGCGTAAGAGACTTCTTATGCATAAAAGACATTTTTAATATAATATAATATGACGTTATATATACGTAATATGTGTGACGTTTTCTACCCAAAACATAAATGGACAGTATAAAAACTCACCCTGAGCATCGAAAACTCAATCCTGAGCAGCTAAATCCCACTAAATTCCTCCCGCACTACCTAAGCTGTGAATATTGTCTTTGCTTTTATAGTGTAACCACATCTGTCCCTAAGGTTTAATGGTCTTGTTTGTACACTAACTATTCGTAGGAACAAAAACAATAACACGCCAAGACTTAGGCTGACCCAAAAGCTCTCCGTATCTGAGATCGCCTCCTCTTGTTTGATGCTATCATGTCTAAGACCTTGCCTTTGATTCATACAGTGTGCTGCTCTCTAAGGGGAAATCAAATACCTATAGACTCTCTCATCTGACAAAATGGTTTGTCAGAGAATAGGATATCGGGTGACGGTGAAATTGGGTGGAAAGGGCAATAGGGTGGTAGTAACCAAAGCAGCTGCGAACAAGATCCCTTGACTGTATAAATGCACGTCTTTATCCTCAGGGAAGAGCTCCACCTAGAAGGATGAGTTTGCCATTTATCTTAAGTCCCACCTTGGATGTAATGAATCTGCATTCTCATAGTGCCTCATGAGATTTGTTTAGAAAAATAATGTCAATTTCTTTCCTCTCATTGTTTGAAAATCAAATGAGACGCCAAATATGAAATTCGTATTATTGGTTCTGCATCGCCTTTATTGTATGTAACTCATAATCTGTTCAGGGAGCCTAGCCAGAGCATGTTATTGTGGTTCGCTTTCCTTTGACGTAGGCAGTTACAGAAACATGGTGTGTATTTCTGAAACAAAATGCTCTTGTCAGATGTGTGGTACTGCATCCTAAATAAAATCAAATGGAGAAAATGTTTGCAAGTCGCTAACAGAGGAGATGATGCTTTACATTTAAGGTGCAGTTTGCAGACAAAAAAAGGTCTATTGTCTCGCAAAGTCACTTTCAACCCAAGCAGCTTTCTGTTGGTCAGAACTGTGAAAATGTGTGACCAACTTGAACCCGATGCGGAATCTGCTTAGAGAAATATTTCGCCCTCATGCAAAGTTCAAAGATCATATGTGACCCTGGACCACAAAACCAGTCTTGAGTCGCTGGGGTATATTTGTAGCAATAGCCAAAAATACATTGTATGGGTCAAAATTACAGATTTTTCTTTTATGCCAAAAATCATTAGGACATTAAGTAAAGATCATGTTAATCATTGTAAATTTCCTACTGTAAATATATCAAAACTTAATTTTTTATTAGTAATATGCATCGCTGAGAACTTCATTTGAACAACTTTAAAGGCAATTTTCTCAATATTTAGATTTTTTTGCACCCTCAGATTCCAGATTTTCAAATAGTTGTATCTCGGCCAAATATGGTCCTATCCTAACAAACCATACATCAATGGAAAGATTATTTATTCAGCTTTCATATGATGTATACATCTCAATTTCGAAAAATTGCACCTTTTGACTGGTTTGGTTGTCCAGGGTCACATATGGATTAAAATTAAAATGACTGGAAAATTACAGAACAACGGTAAATGTAACCACACCTGTAGACTGGAACAGAAGTCATGAGTGAATGAATCTTGATGAATTTTCACATCAGGATAAAACTTAACCAGCTAAAGCAACCAGACAAATACAGGGGTTGGACAAAATAATGTGAAGACCTGCTATTATAGGGGTTAAGGTTGTATATCAGTGTAGTATAAGTTGAGGTTAGCACAAGCCGCGTGTTAAATGGATGACTTGTCAGACTGCCAAAAAAAGACAAATCATGGAAGCCCATTTAGCATCTGGGACTTTAACAGTTCCATTGTTTGGTATTTTAAGAACAACAGTCTTTACGATTATGGCTGTGTACGCAAAGCAAGGCAAGACTTCATCAGAGAAGAGGAAATGTGACTGAAAACTGGAAGTGAATGATAGGGATAATCGAACACTGAGAAGGATTGTGTCCAAACAACACAGCAAAGTGACAGCAAACCTCAATATTCACTCTGAAGACCATCTTTCCACAAAAATAAATGACCACAGAGAACTTCACAAAGCCAGCATCTGTGAAAGAACTGCAATTGCTCAAACCTTAATCACAGACTCCAATGCTAAAATGCTGAAATTATGGTCGTAAAACCTGGACAGTTGAAACATTTCAAAATCTACCCTGGCCAGATCAATCCCTTGACTTGAATATTGTCAATCCACTCTGGGCAGATTTGGAGAGAAGGGTAAAAAGCAGATTACATCCTTCAGCATCCCTGAAGTAACTGGCAGATGTTCTGATGTTCTGACATTCAACTGGAGACTCTTCAAAAGTATGACTCTCTATCAAAGGCCTCCCGGTTGGAAGCTGTATTAAAGGGAAATGGTGGTAAAACACCTTAATAAAGAAATATTGCCTATTTCCCAAGTGTTCACATAATTTTGTCCGGCCCCTATAGATGCTAGGCATTGCTAAGCAGGTGTAATTGTTAGCCAAGGTAGTAATGGACATGCTACGTGCTTAGCATAGCACTCGTTAAGCAACTTGTTAAGAAAAGCTCTTTTGATTTGCTAGACCAATATATCACCATAACGTGTTTTGATCAGGCCTTGAGGAAAGGGGAGGGAATTCTGTACAGTATTTATATCCCAACAAAAGCTATGAATGCTAACAAACAGCACTGCATGGGTGCCGTTTCTTGGTGTTCGTTGAGGCACTATGAATCCTCCTAAAATCAAATGAGACAAAACTGAAAGTTTAGTTTTCAGAATTTCAGTTTGTATCTTGATTCTTAAGGGACATTCACACCAAGGAGAGTAACTTTAATAATCATTAAAACTATAAAGTTTTAATAATCATTCTAATTCTATGAAAATAGGGAAGTGCACAACACAACTATAATGAGAACGACTCATAGCAGTGGTATCCTTGGAATCACTCATGGTACTATTTTGATGACTGATGAAACATTGATAACCAATCAGAATCCACCCAACTTTAAAGAGCGCAAAGATTTAAAGTGGCAAACGACAATAAAAAGCGGGTTATCGTCTGCTGTTGTGAACAATGCTAATATCATTATCGCTATAGTTATAATTATTCTTGGTGTGAACATACCTTTTGAAGATTCTTATTTGAGGCCTTTAGGATTGGTTAACTAGCATTATATTAGCAACACATTAGCATTTTTAACAAGGGACTTGTTTAATTATCACATACAGAGTTGGGGAGTCTTACCAGACATGTTTGAACTTGTCTTAATACATGTCCATTACTTTGAAGTGATCCAGTGAGAACACATTATGTGTTATGAGAAGGTCAGAGAGGGCAACGCCGCTGAAAGCCCAACTTCTTCAGTTGAATCAAACACTGTTTGATTCATAGCACCCCATGAATACTGAAATCAGAACTATGGAAACCTGAGGAACAGTGTTGATGTGATTTCCTCACCCTATGTGGAGGGGTTTGCTAGATATAGTCTAGCCGAGAGTCAGTACCGCTTTACTCACTCATATTAGCCATGGTCATGCTGCTCTTTCTGGTGCTGTTGAAACTCATCTCAGCCAACTGTAAGTATACTGAATAATATCAGGAGCTTAACTACTTTTTTTTCTCCTACAGCAAGGCAGTATAATGACTCTTACAATACTTAAGGTTTACCTTTACTCAATATTTGGTTCGATGACATGATGCTCATTTTGATATGATGAGATTTTCTGAATGAAATTTACAAATTTTTAGATTTTAAATTTAAATACATGGGACAAAAAATAAATAAAAAAATGTTTGAATGATACAACTGTCTTAATATAATAATGAAAAACTGCCTCATCAAATTGTGATTTTTTTTTTCTTTTTGAAAATTAAACATTATTAAGTAGATACTTTTATTTCAAAGGTTTGTCAAATATAAATAAGTAGTTAATAAGCAAGAATCGTTGATTGATTGATTGATTGATTGATTTAGCCAGCCTATGAAATAATAATAAAATATATATTATAGAGAGGACCCCCCAAACGCTCATGATTGTGGCTGTCAGCAATTCTCTCAAAATATCAGATAATTTGACCCTTTAATATGTAAATGTCCAATATCTGAAATTCTAAGATACATATTTAAATCCAAAATATATTTATGTTTTTGGAAATATGATATGCACACTCACATGTATTTAAGAAATATGTTCATAGTTTTTACTTCTTAGTTACACCGCATGACATCATTAGTGTCATTACATTTAAAGGGGTCATATGATGCTGCTAAAAATAACATTATTTTGTGTATTTGGTGTAATGAAATGTGTTTATGCGGTTTAAGGTTAAATAAACACATTATTTTCCACATACTGAACATTATTGTTGCTCCTCTATGCCCCGCCTTTCTGAAACGCGTTGATT